GGGGGGGGGGGGGGGGGCGAGGGAAGCAGCTGGGTGGGAGGTGGCGGAGGTGTATGGGGGGGAGGTGGCTTTGAGGAGGGCGGCCGCGGGAGACTCTCCACCTTGCTCCTCGCGGTGGCGGCGGGGCCGTTGCTCTGCAGGCGGCGGCCGAGGAGCTTGGAGAGCGTGTTCTGGACCTCGGTGCATTGGATGTAGCGGTGCGCGAAGCTGCCGCCCGCCTGCGGTCGCGAGCGTGAGAGGTGCCTCGGAGGTGCCTTTGAGGTGCCTCGGAGGTGCCTCAGCGTGAGAGGTGCCTCGGAGGTGCCTCGGAGGTGCCTCGGAGGTGTGTTAGAGGTGTGTTAAGAGGTGTGTTAGAGGTGTGTTAGGGGTGTGTTAGAGGTGTGTTAGAGGTGTGTTAGAGGTGTGTTAGAGGTGTGTTAGAGGAGGGGGTCGGAGGCGCCGCCCGCCGTCATGGTCGTCGGGCACGCCTCGGTGACGTAGCACCACGGAGTCTGGCCCTCGAGCTCCCACCCCTTGCAGTACGACCCGAAGCCGTGCTTGCTCGACCAGCCAGAGCAAGGGCACTGCTCCGGCGTCCCCCACCCCCCCTTGGACTCGACTATCTTGACCGGCGGAGGGCTCGGCGGCGGCGGCGGAGCGGGCGGCGGCGGCGGCGGCGAGGGCGGCGGAGGCGGCTGGGCGAGCTGGATGCAATCCTTGTACTTTGCGCCTTCCGGCCCGGTGGCGTCCGGGCAGTCGTTGTTCGTGTAGCACCAAGGCGTCTGCCCCACGAACTCCCAGCCACGGCAGAAGCCTCCGAAGCCTGGTTTTTCAGAGCGAGGCACGCGGAAGAGTGAAGGGTGGGTCTGCAGTGTGAGTGCTACGAAAGGGGCCGCTGGGGCGTGGATGCGACGGGAACACAGCCGAAGCGGCGTCTCCTCGCCGGCCGGTGTGCAGCACGCAGCATCTACCTCCCCGCGGGCCGTGGACCGACTCGCGGCCAGAGCAGGCGCACCCCGCCGCCGGCTCCCACCCTTCCGGGCCGAGGTAGCCTTCCTCCTGCGAGCAGACCTGCGGGGGGCGGGGAGGGCGGTCGGGACGGGCGCGAGGGGCGGTGTTGGTGACGAGAGGCGGCGGCGGAGTGGGGGGCGGGGAGCAGAGGCGAGGAGGGGCAGGGATAGGGCAGGGAGGGGCGGTCGTGTGTGAAGAGAGGAGGATGCGCGTGGCGGCGGCTGAGCTGAACCAGAATACCAAGAGCATACGGACCTGCAGGTGGCGGCTGCTGTGCCGCTTGGAGCGGAGGCCCTGCTTGCACGACGTCCCGTTGACGTAGCACCTGCACGGGGTCGGAGCTTGCAGCGAGAGCAGGCTGGCAGCGATAGCTGCTGGCAGCTGGAGCAGGCTCACAGCTCGGGAGGCAGGGCGGCACAAGGTCAGAGAGACGTAGGAGAGAGGGAACGGAGAGGAGCGGTGCGCGGAGATGCATCGTGCGGTACCAGGCCGCCCCCGGGTGTCGGGACACCGCAGTGGTGTGTCGCGCGGGTCAGACCCGTGTGCATGTCGGGGCAGCAGCTTACCACGGCCGGTGGAACTCGCTCTCCCAGTTGTGGCAGTAGCGGCCAAAGCCGTGCTCGTCCGTCTCGCCGGTGCAGTCGCAGCCGAGCTTGCCGTGCTCCTTCAGCGGAGCGACCGGCCGCTTCCTGAAGGTGGCGACCGTCGTCTTTGTCAGCGCGACCAGTCGGAAACGCGCCGCCGGAAGCGAAGACGTCGCAGCCGAAGCACGCAGCTTGCCGTCGGAACCGAGCGCGAGGTACTTTCCCGTGTGGACGCTCCTGTGGCGGTGCGGGCGAGGCGTCTCACGCGTGGGACGGGTGCGCCTTTCCACATCGCAAAGAGGTGGTGTGTCTATTTTCGCATCTCTCGAGTGAGCACCGGATGGCAATTGTATCGCCGTCTTGAATCACCGGGCGGAAAGCCAGAGTGACGCCAGCGATGAAGAGGAGAACGACCGCCGCCAGCGCAGCCCCGCGCTTGGCGTTCGTGACGACGGGAGGCGGTTCATCACCCGCCATATCAAGCGAAGCAGAGGTGTCAGGAGTTCTCGCGGAGCGCGGTATTTCTCTTTTCAGGTGTAGGAGCAGGTGCTCTTTGTCAGGAGACGGAACACGGAGGAGCTGTATAGGTCACTAGAGACCCACACCATCGCTACATCACCACAGCCACCAAGTCGGATACAAGTCGATGACAATGTGCGCGGCAGGAGAAACCCATAACCCTCGTACGCAGATGGGTTTGCGTGATTTTGGCCCCCCCGCCCCTAACATTATGGCCGACAGAGCGGCTGGGAGGCTAATGTTAGGGGCGGGGGGGCCGATCTGGTGTCCAGACCAGGGCGCGGCGCCATGAGCAGACGTATTTTGTCATATCTGCGTACGAGGGTTAATGGGCAAAGTCGGCGAAATCGAAAATGCCTGTTTTCTCGTTTTTCGTGCACTACCGGCCACAGCCGTGCCTCAGGCATCCAAGTCGGGCAACATGTGGGCGGCACGGGACCGGAGGCTTGGCCCTAGGCCGAAGAAAGGGTATGCGAGGGTGCTCGCGAGCACCAAAGCCACTTGCGGCATTCGCCGGCAATCCCTGCTGCACACCAGAAGCGAGCGGTTCGGACGTCTGGCGGCCACTGAAGGCAATCGCACGGTGGGGGAGGCGGTCCGCGTTTTACGTACGACCTTGAAAAATGGCACCGTCGCTATTTCACCGTTCGCCGAGTGAGTACGGTTGCTCTACCACACGCTCGAGTCTCTGCGCGGAGCCCTCGGGACTGCCTCCGCCGGCTCGATCAGCAACACACACGCTCGCTAACGCTGACTAGTCGCGCCGAGGGCGGAGAGCGACTCACACGCCGCGCAACCGGTCAGCGAGGCAGCTCGCAAAACGGCGGCAGAGCCGAGGGCAGCGAGTGTGGTGGCGGCGACGGCTGGTGGCCGGCCCGCACGGTGCCTCGGCGCGTAGCACACCTATAGGCGGTTTCGTCGGCGGTTCCGGTTCAGCGCGCGCTGGCGACGGCGAGAGGCCACCGGGTACACCCGGCGCGACCGTGTCGGCCGAGGGCGGCGGCAGCGGGCGCGACAGAGCTGGTTGAGCTGATGTTGCTGCCGCGTGCAAGACGGCAGCGACGCGCGGCAAGCCGCACGCTGCCATGGGCGAACCTAGCGCATGAGCCGTCGAATGGCCTGCGACACGGGGCGAGGAGCGGCTCAGAGCTCGGCTGAGAGTGTCGCACAGCTGGCGCCAGCAGCAAGCAGCTCACCTACAACGCGTTTGAGTGACACTAGCGAGAGATCGTCGAAGCTCGCAGACGCTGTTCACCTCGAGATCACGGCGGATTGCTTCGCATAGTACCTATATTCTTTACTTTGGACTGTGATGTGATGTTCCACACCTCGTTCAAATGCTATTCACACCTCATTCAAATGCTCTTTTCATTCAAATGTTACTCCCTCTACTGTGGAACATCACATTCACAGTCCAAAATCATGCATTAGAAGAGTATATAGGGGGTATATCATTGATTAGAGATTCATTTAGGGCTGATGCAACCTCCGACTCACTTCCCGTACATCCAACTGGTCCCGCCACACCCTTCTCGGTCCATCGCGCTGCTCTTCGCACGAGTAAATGCATGCGTTGTCAAGATTTCCCCAGTCCGGGGGAGCACCGACCCTTTCCTCTACCGTTCCAGCAGGAGCGGTGCTATAGCGTATAGGCAGCGAGAGCGGACGTGGGGACGGCAGCCTCGCGCACTTCCCACTTTCCTGGGTCCCTGTCGCCGAACCACCGTTGTCCCCCTTCTAGAGCTGTTCACACTCTCGCTGTCCTCCCCTGTCGAGTCTCGTCAGAACTCCTCATAGTCCTCAAAAGTGCTCAAACATGCCTGGGTGGGTGCAACAAAGCGATTGCGCCCTACCCCCCTGCTTGCTGGCTGGCAACGCCAACGGACAACAAGAAATCACGGCTTCCTGCCTCCGTCTCAATCACCGATGCGCATCCCTTCCTTAGGATACCTATCCGTTCGGATACCTATGCGTTCGGATACCTATCGGTTCGGATACCTATCCGTTCGGACACCCATCCGCTCGGATACTCATCCGCTTTCTCTCTCTCTCTCTCTCTCTCTCTCTCTCTCTCTCTCTCTCTCTCTCTCTCTCTCTCTCTCTCTCTCTCTCTCTCTCTCTCTCTCTCTCTCTCTCTCTCTCTCTCTCTCTCTCTCTCTCTCTCTCTCTCTCTCTCTCTCTCTCTCTGGAAACCGTTTGGAATTTTTGACATGCTACGGTTGTAACCTGCTGCCAGCCACTTTCTAGTACTACTATTTATTGGCCTCACACGCATCCTTGGGCAGGCCGACTAAGGCCGACGTCACCCAGGACTTTTGCTGCATAGCTGGAGCCATTACCCGCCGCCACGTGCAGCAGGCAGATGCCGTGGCCGACGTGCTTCTCAACGCCAAATCCATGCAAGCACGTATAGTCCCCATCACGATATCGGCACCCCGCTTGTACCAGGAGTAGGCGGCGATGCGCAAAAAAAATGCCTTTATCATCGTGAGGCAATGCGACGATCGGTGTCATTGCCTTGACGAAAGGGTCGGCGTAAGTAAGAGTTTCGTTGACGAGGTGTGTACGACTTGTGCAAGAGTCGTGTCACGTTGTTTATGTCATATTGGACCATCCAGCGCACGCGCTGCGTGGAATTTGGCCTCTTGTGGTAGTCCTCCACCCCAGGCGTGCTGAGCGCGATGATCTCGGCGGCGGAGCCAGTGTACTGCCCCTCCGCACCGCTGGATGGCTGGAACCAATCGCGCATCTCACGGAAATCGCCGTAATACAGGCGCCTGAGCTGCGGGTTCATCACGGCTAACGTAATTGAGAAGTACGACGCGGCGACTACTAGGTAGCGCGCGTGCAGTAGCACAGCGGCGTCCTGCTCGCGAGATTTGCTCTGCACCGAAATGCTCACTCCCGCATGCCTCGACTTGATCGTCTGCACACACGGGTGCTTCTTGTCATCGGTGACAATGCACACGCGCTTGTAGGGCGGGCCAACATCACGCTTCCCCGAGATGATCGCGTCGTACATCGCGCACGGCGGCATCTTGCGCTCCATTGCCCCCATAAAAGGATGAGTGACAGTGCGTCGCCACCACGCAAGTGGATCACCAGCGTTGCCTCCGAATGTGTTGATGTGAATGTGTCGATGCGCGCGGTGGGTGTGATTGCGGGGTAGATGTAAGAGAAGGCTCGTCGCCACACGTTCACGTCATGGCCAGCGGAACAGGCGATGCACGTTGTCGGGTCTGTGAAGCTCACGACCTTGCACACCTGTTCACGCCGAAAGCAGTCTGTCGAGTTGAGCGGCAGGGCCTGGACTGGGAGCTGCAGGTGATAGCACAGCTTCTTGCAGTTGATTTTACGCTTGCTGTCCTTGAGGCCCGGGCAAGGGAACCCGAGGCATGGCGCCCTCTTCAGCACCAAGAAGCCTTTGAGCTTCCGGCTGTACGTGAAATCGGTCAGGTGGATGGTGCGAGCGGTAACCGTACTCGAGAGCGTACCGTACTGACCAAGCAAGCTGCCGCAAGCTGTCTCCCAGTCGACCTTTCAGCATCGGGATCACCAAGCCGTCACTTGGAGGGAATGCGCGATCTTGTTGCACGTCGTTGCTGTCCATGACACCATCCGCGGCCGAGCCTACAACTGATACTTTGCATGCTTTTGAAAGAAAGGCTCGACGCACGGGTTCTCGAGGTTAAATCAGTCGTCACAGTGAGTTGGTCTCGGCAGCTTGTCAGCCCTCACTCAGCCGAAGCTGGGGCAAAAATCGCAAACCCTGTCAGCAGTCCTCCTCCGGGAATGTACGTAAGAGCCACATACATTGAGAGAGAGACGCAGTGCCGCTCGACTGTCACGCGGGCACTCGAGCTTGGGGACACAGTCGGTGGTGCAAAGGACTACCATGGCGACTGGTTCCTCAACAACGCCGCCCGGCGGCGCCCACACGACGGCGTACTTCGCGCCTGGTACGATTGTGTCGCCGCCGTCTCCATCTCCCGGCCCGTTATGGGAGATGCCGAAAAACCTGAGCTCACCAAACAGTTCAACGAGGGCTACAAAACCGACCTGGCTGAGCCGGGCGCGGCTCCCGGGGGCAAAGACGAGATCAGTGAGGTCAAACTTTGGACCCCCCTCCGGGGTGGCTTGCCTGTTGGGGTCGGCCGCGCCGACACCGGAGGCAACCCCGGCTCCGTTGGAGACAAGTTCGCCTTCGGCAACACCGAAGAGCGCGCCCGCCTTGCAAACATGGGCTGCAAGCAACGCGGGTTCCGTGGTCAACGCGCGTTCGACCACACCACCGGCCAAGGCTACGTCAAGTCACAGCGTGGCCACTACCATGATGGGATCTTCGGCAAACGAAACAAGTTCAACCTGCTTCTCCACGAGACATTCGGCGGCGGCTTCTCGCCGCCTGCAGTTGCAAAGATCAACTGTCTTGCGCGCAAGGCTCAGCGCTCGGGCGTTGACCGCACCGCGTACCCTCCCCACTCCCGCCTCTCTTTTGTGTCACACCACGCGGAACGCATCTCCATCGCTTCGGTGAAGGGGGTGAACCGTGCCATCCTCGATCGCCGTGCTAAGCTCGCTTCCGAGCTCTCACGCCGCGCGTAGGGCCCCTAGGGGCCTAGAGAACACAACCCCCTCTCTCTTTTCTCCCAGTAAGCTAAAAGTACGTACATTGAAAATCTGTATCGGACAACCAAGGCGGCGAGCGAGCAAAAAGTTTTCTGGCGCGCGGGAGGGGCCGTGATGGGGTTCATGATGGGGTGGCCTCCGTCGACCGGCTTCTCGGCAAGGCGAAGCCATGGAACCCCTTGGCAGTTCCGCATCAGAAATTACTTTGGGGCGCACCCCGCTGCGGCCGGCCGGCTACCAACACACCGCATGCTTACCCCGTCTGCGCCCCTTGGCCCTCTCTCGTTTTTCTCCAGGTTGATCTCCTTTAGACGCGTTGGGTACCCAAGGCGTAGCA